CCCACAATACCCTAGAACACTTCAGTAGGCCAACATACCCCTGTGTGTTCTTGTACTCGGCATCAAGTCAGTGAAATAATTTGTTTTTATTATGGTGAAAACACTATACTTGTGGTGATATGGGGTGGGGGGCGATCCACTGTAAACAAAACCGTCAGCTGATCTGTGTCGTCATGGTTAACCCCTAATGGTGGGGGAGGGATTGATGCGTCGCTTGCTGCCTCTAGTAATACATGGGCGGGGGTGGGGTTGATGCCTCGCTTGCTGCCTCTTGTAATACATGGGCGGGGAGGATTGATGCCTCGCTTGCTGCCTCTAGTAATACATGGGGCGGGGGTGGGGTTGATGCCTCGCTTGCTGCCCTTGTAATACATGGGGCGGGGAGGGATTGATGCCTCGCTTGCTGCCCTAGTAATACATGGGGTGGGGTTGATGCCTCGCTTGCTGCCTCTGTAATATTATGGGGCGGGGAAGAGGGGTTGATAATTCTCGCTTGCTGCCTCTAGTAATACATGGGGCGGGGAAGGGGGGTTGATACCTCGCCTGCTGCCTCTAGTAATACATGGGGCGGGGAAGAGGGGTTGATACCTCGCCTGCTTCACACTTTATTACATCATGAACAACAACAGGTAACTAAAATTTGGACACTTAATAATACAATAAATTTATGTATTTTTCAGACAATATATTCACCTTGGCTAAGTTTTCCTCTGACAAATAATGCACTCGACACATGCGACCCCGAACCATTTTTTCCTGCGTCCCTTTGAACCTTCCAGTAAGAGATTAGGTAGATGTAATAATAATAATAATATAAGATTGCTAGGGGGAATTTTTCATGGTACGACGTGTGAATGTAATGAAACTGGTTTTCTTTAGAGTTGGCCCCTACGATATAATCACCTTGGGAGGATACACAATTAAAAACAACGATACAGCACTACATTTCGTGAACACCTCTTTTAGAAATGCCTTCATAGCCCGCGTCACATTCTCTTCAATATAATGGAGTAAAAAATCTTCGAGTTCCACTGAGGAGGGATTTGACTTTTAGAAACAGCCAAAAGTCATTCAGAGTCAAGTGAGGCGACGAAAGTGGAGGATGATTAGACTTGGTAATACTGTTTTGGGTGTGTCAAAAACTGTCAAGTAAAGCCGGGAGACTGAAGCCAATCTCACACTCACTCTTTTCGCGTCTCACAGAATCTCTCACTCCTTTTGCGTCTCACAGAATCTCTCACTTTTTGCGTCTCACAGAATCTCTCAAACGCTTCAGAAAACTTTACATAATAAGCTTGAATGATTGAGGGGGACGGGGTGGCCAATCTTCAGGTGATCCCAATTTTACGGTAACAAAACTAATTTTATCCAGAGATTGCTAAAACACACACACACACACACCACTTATATATGAAAACCTGACTCGGGTGACCATTAGACCGAAGGTGGTATAACTAATGGGGAAAAACCCTTTATATATATATGACACCCACAGGTTAGCCTCCTCCTCTATTTACTACCACCTGTTAGTTCCGTCTGGCCATTTACATGTTAGTTATAGTCCACCGGCGGCCATTTAACACAGAGGAACATCATCGAGAAATTGTCCGTCTGTTTGTTTTGAGGAGATTTACAAAGGGCAAGAGTGAGATGGAGGTGTTTTATAGCTCACACATACACTCACATACACGCGCGCACACACACACACACACACACACACACACACACACGAACCACCAATCATAAATGGAAAATCCAAATTATTCCTGAATTTTCTATCCCAAATTAGAAAAAAAAAGTTAATTATTATTATTTGTGTGTGTGTGTGTGTGTGTGTGTGTGTGTGTGTGTGACAATACACACCTGGGAGAAGACACCAAACTTTTTAAGACAAGAACCCAAAGTTTCAACCCAAAAGTTTTTAATACCTTTTATCAACTTTGGGACGACTCCTTGTGCCTCCTAAACTGAAGCACATCGTCCGGTTCTTACGCAGTGGAGATGATATTGAAGATCTTTTGTTTTGTTTTTTGTTTTTTTTCTCGTTTATTTGTTTTATTTTTAGTTTTAAGTTTAATCGTGTTTTTGTTTTTTTTAGTCTTAATTTTTTTAATTATTATTTTTTTCCATTTTTCTGTTTATTCGTTTTATTATTTCTTGTTTTTCGGGGGGATGGGGAGGAAGGGAGAAATGGGGGAATGGTAGAAAGGGTGGGTGGGAAGAAGAGGGGGGAGGGAAGGAAAGGGAGGGAAGAGAAGGAAGGGGAGGAAAATGGAAGGGAAGAAAGGGAGAGGAAAGAAGGGAAAGGGAGGGGAGAGAGAGGGAAGGAAGGTGAGGGGGAGGGAAAGGGAGGGAAGACGGAAATGGAGAAGGGATGGGATGGGAGACGAGGGGAAGGGGTCAAAGTAGGTTTCTCTGGGTCGTGTGAGATAAGAGGATAATTGGAGGCAGGTGTTGTGTGCTTCGGGTAACAGATGTGCTTCGGGTAACAGATGTGCTTCAGGTAACAGGTGTGCTTCACGTAACAGGTGTGTTGTTTACCTCTTGGGTTCGTCTGGTTACTGAGTTGTGATGGACTGTTTATCTGGTTTGTCTACACGCAAACACACACACACACACACACACACACACACACCGGTATCTAAGTCAAATTTTAACATCCTAAATAACCAGTATAATGTATAACCCTTACAGTGTATAATGTATAACCCGTACAGTGTATAATGTATAACCCGTACAGTGTATAATGTATTTCCCGTACAGTGCTTAATGTATAACCCGTACAGTGTATAATGTATTTCCCGTACAGTGCTTAATGTATAACCCGTACAGTGTATAATGTATAACCAGTACAGTGTATAATGTAGAACCCGTACAGTGTATAATGTATAACCCAACCAGCTTTTTACTGAATAACTTGGTACAATGGCGGATCAACAACACGACCATGAGATATTTACAGATATGGAAATTCTTGCACCTTAGTTTTATTATTGTGTAACTTCAGTGATGCAATAAAGAAAATAACTCGTTAAATGTTTTTATTTTATTTAACTCGAGTGAAATTCTCTCCCTCCTGGCTGTCTGTGGTGTGTTGGAGAGAACTGTATGTAGTGGGGGAGAGAGGGAGAGAAGCAGGTGGAAAGATGGAGGAATGATGACGATAATAATAATAATGATAATAATGACACAAAATACCTATTATTCCCCGACTCCCCATAACAAACTCCAAAAGGCGATGATTCAGTGTAATACCAACATCCAACACTGATTATTGGACTCGTGTGAGACCTTGTTGTAATAATTTGCCAGGTTTGGTTCTAATTCATCGTTATCGTGTTAAAAGATATTGTTACCGTGTTTACAACTGTTGCCCCCCCCCCCTCTCCACCTACCCACCCCTCCCCTACCTCCACCCTGCCCCTACCCCTTCCCCAACACCCACCTCTCCACCTTCCTCCTCTTACACCCATCCCACACCTCTCACCTCTCCTCCTACCCCACGGAGATATACATTCTTAAAGTCATCACTGAAAAGGAGACAATTATCGTTTTAAAATCACAAAAGAGTATATTATTGTTGGTAGTAACCCCTTAAGATCTGGTAACTTGTAGTGTGTGGTAGGATGTTGTAGAAGACGTCGTCACTCGTTCGTATAGCGAGGGAACAAATTGTGGTGGTCAGTAACGAGGGAGACTACACCATCAGTCACCCTCACAACACACTCCGCTGACTCTTTGTTATTGTTGACTTTGATGCTTCTCAGTTACTCGTAGACTGAGGTAGATGGTGTGAAGGAATCTGTCAAAAGTTTTAACTAAAGATCATATAAATTTATACAGATGTTTACTTCAGGGGTAAAATAGGACGAAACTTTCCCCGGGGTTGGCGGTCTGGTGAGAGTTGAAGAGTTCTGTTGACGTCAGGCGCCGGCATCTTCAAATATGTCTGCTATTATTTTTTCTTTCTTTTTCTTGGGGAAATTTTCTCTATCACGGACAGCCAGACTTTGTAGGTGAAATAGAAAGAAAGGGAATAGTCAGATGGTCGTATTGTTGAGGCCGCCAATCAACAATGGTCAGTGGTATCAGTACACGCACACACCAATGTTTAGTGATACACACACACACACACACACACTCTCTCTCTCTCTCTCTCTCTCTCTCTCTCTCTCTCTCTCTCTCTCTCTCAAGTACAACACTTCCCCAGATGGGTCAGAAGCAGCTGTAGGTCACCAGCTGGTTTGGACTGCCAGGGGCTCGACAACTGCAGCCACAACCAGACGTTCCTCAACACAATACTTCCAAAACCATTTTTATTGGTTTATTTCTACGTCTCTTCTCACCTAACCTAAGCCTGTGTAATAATCTTCAGGTAGAGGCCCTACATTGATTAATAAAACATCTCTCACAGTCACGAATACACCACGTTACTCAGACCAACTAGGAGGTGGGAGCAGAACGAGCACTGTCATCTGTAACTAACTGTGTTCGTCTGTCCGCCTCGTAACTCTTGACACGAGGGAAGGACTTCATCCATTCTTGGTATATAGACCAAGAGATTACAGCTTTGAAAAGTGGCACCATCCTGGGTGAATTGGCACCTTGCTTGAGTGCCATACTGTAGGTTTATAACATTTTATGGTGTTTGGTTTATGATTATTATTATTCAGAGGATAACTAAGTGATTGAGGTGGGTTTTTTTGTAATATGGCTAAAGGTATTGGCTGGGATGAGGTTAGGGTAGTGTGAACTGGGGTACGTTAGGGTAGGGTTGGTTAATTTAGGGTAGGTTAATTTAGGTTAGGTTGGGTTAGGTTAGGATATAGTAAGTTGGGGAAGGTTAGGTTAGTGTTGGGTAGACTAGGTTGGGGTAAGGTAAACATTAAAAGATGTGGGGAATACTGGCAACAGTATTCGAATGCGTATACGAATACATTAGAAAAGTATTCGTGAATATTCATGAGCAGAAATTTGTGTGAATATGCAGTAGAACAGAGATGAGCTTTCGTGACCTAAACCAGCACCCGGGCGTGAGCAGGTACCGGCAGCACCTCTCGTGGTAAGAGGTGGCGCGGGGGATTAGTCCACACCCATCCCGGGCGGACCAGCTTTCTAGGTTCAGGTCCACTCGGGTAACATTCATTTAAATCTTAAAAAAAAAAAAATCCTGACCTGATCCTCCCCCTTGACCTAACCACAACATTCACATTCCCCCCGTTACACAGACACTATAAGTACAGTTAAATACAGCACAAATTCGATGGTTCGTCACATGAATCGAATACGCATATATATATTTCAAATTTTCTTACTCGTGTATTCGAATATAAATACAATATCCCAAAACAAGATTCAAATGTATTCGAATTCTGATAAATATCCCGCCAGAGGTACTTATATCCTAATCCAAGTCTTAGAGTTTATAGCATCGTGTAATCTAACGAGCTTGTTTACTTGCTTCGTATACTTATTTCACTTGATACTTCTCATCATGATAAACAATGGATAGACTATTGACTGCTTGCACTTGTTTTCTTGCTACAAATTCATCAATTAGTTCTTGTCTGGTTACAGTGTTAAGGGTTCTTGTGGACAGATCAGGTTTTAATCAAGTGTTTTTGTTGTTGTGTTGAAGACTCTCTTTTATGGTATTCTTGGTAATGACGTCACCAATCATCAAGCGTCACCAGGTGTTATCGTACGTCACCAGGTATCCTCATACATTACCAGGTGTAATCAACCTAGTCTGACATATGTTGACTTACTCCTACAAGTGAGGTACAAGTGTCACTAATCAAGTCATGTGTTGCAGGTGTGTGGGCGGTGAGGTGCAGGTGTCACTAATCAACTCATGTGTTACAGGTGTGGACGAGAAGGTACAGGTGTTCCGCGTGAGGCCAGAGAGTGTGGAGGTGCGGGAGGGAGAGGACGTGACGCTGAGGTGTGAGGTGGACAACCAGCAGGGGAGAGCCCAGTGGACCAAGGACGGCTTCGCTCTAGGTCTGTACCGAACCTAACCTAACGTAATACAACCTAACCTAACGTAATACAACCTAACCTAAGGTATTACAACCTAACCTAATGTAACCCAACGTTTTCGGACCTTATGTAATCAAACCTTACCTTACCTCGAAAAGATTCAGTGGCTTGGTCGGGAGGCGGGAAAAATAACCCTCACTTCATCTTTAAGTCGGTCTCTGTATATTTCTTCCCTGTGACCAGATTGTGTCGTGGACTGGGGGAGAACAAGGACTGGTAATTAAAGTGTAATGAAGTGATACAAACAATAGGAGTCGTATTCTTCTTAAGAAAATATTAGGAGCGTTAATTAAAGGTGTGTGTGTGTGTGTGTAACTGAAGGAAGACTTACAGTATATTCTGGATCTCTTAATGTGAATAATTTTTTCCGCAGCTATTTGAGAAAATTCTGGTGGTTGGTTGAAAGAAAGTACTTCCTTGTATTGGTCACACACACACACACACACACACACACACACACACACACACACACACACACACACACACAAACGGACAATTCTGCTACGCCACATTTATGTACAAGGGACATAACTTATAAGCTCATAACACTTCCCCCCCTCTCTTTCTTTCTTTCTTTCTTTCTTTCTTTCTTTCTTTCTTTCTTTCTTTCTTTCTTTCTTTCTTTCTTTCTTTCTTTCTTTCTTTTCTTTCTTTCTTTCTTTCTTTCTTTCTTTCTTTCTTTCTTTCTTTCTTTCTTTCTTTCTTTCTTTCTTTCTTTCTTTCTTTCTTTCTTTCTTTCTTTCTTTCTTTCTTTCTTTCTTTCTTTCTTTTCTTTCTTTCTTTCTTTCTTTCTTTCTTTTCTTTTCTTTCTTTCTTTCTTTCTTTCTTTCTTTCTTTCTTTCTTTTCTTTTCTTTCTTTCTTTCTTTCTTTCTTTCTTTCTTTGCTTTCTTTCTTTCTTTCTTTCTTTCTTTCTTTTCTTTCTTTCTTTCTTTCTTCTTTCTTTCTTTCTTTCTTTCTTTCTTTCTTTCTCTTTCTTTCTTTCTTTCTTTCTTTCTTTCTTTCTTTCTTTCTTTCTTTCTTTCTTTCTTTCTTTCTTTCTTTCTTTCTTTCTTTCTTTCTTTCTTTCTTTCTTTCTTTCTTTCTTTCTTTCTTTCTTTCTTTCTTTTCTTTCTTTCTTTCTTTCTTTCTTTCTTTCTGATCAGACGTTATCCCTCAAAAATGCCATGAACTTCTCCATGTAATCTAATCCATGTCACACGTCACAGAAGGGTCAACCCCTATACACCCAGACCAAGAGACCAAGAGGAGTCATTTTCAGGTCATTCAGAGTGTTAATCCTTTGTTTGTGCTGATCCCTTTGATAAGATACCCACTGAAGGTGATCCCGACCTCTCGTCTCGCACAACAAAGAGCAACGTGTCATAATACTGAACGATAAAAGGCACATAATGCTGTATGGTCATCCTTCACCTCACCACAGCACTCAACGACACATTTATATAATGGTGGCACAAATTATTGATAATTAAACTCCTGTGAAATCATGGTTTGGTTTACGCTTTACGGTATTTAATTCTACCTCCTGGTGGATCTAAATGCATAGTTCTCTTCCCTGGACGACGAGAGTGAAAGCATCAGATGACAGTTATTACACCGAGTATATTTTTATGTACTGTGAAACCTTCATATAACGGACATTTATCGCCATATAATCCGTTAGATGGAGGGTTTCATATCTAATGGACCCTCGATATAACGGAATTTCCTCTCCATATAGTCCGTTAAATAAAGGTTTCACTGTACTGTATATGTTTTGATACAGGAAAAAACAAAACTGGGAATAATTTTTTTTTTCATAATCTACGATACCAAGCATCAGTGTTGAGATGATACGATAGTTTGATGGTGGACGATTGTGATGTCTTCTTGACCAGACACACTTAGTACTGTTGGTCAGACAAGATGACGGGTCAGTACGGGTCGGGTCTCTCAAGCCACAAGACCGCTCCCACACACTGACTATCTCCCCAAAAATAATTTCGAAGTCATATTCATTTCTGATAGTCCATGAACATTGATATTATTTGTATATTTCGATAATAATAATCTTAGCTACAATAAATGTTGGAGTATTAGATAACTAAGGTGCTTTTAATTTAGATGTTAATAGTATTTTCACAACACATTAGGAACTTCAGTACACTCACTATCTACTTAACCTACAGCCGACTGTACTGTACTTGATGTGTTCGTGAACACCAGTACGTTCACTAGTTTAGATTTAGGCGCGAGATAGGTAAACATTGGTTTGGAAATAGAGTAGTGGATTAGTGGAACAAGTTACCAAACATCATCATTAACTCAATTACACTGGGAAGCTTCACATATATAGGTTGGATGGATATATGACTAATAGGGGTTGGGTGTAAACGGCGCTGCCTAATATGGGCCAATAGACCCGTGCAATTTCCTCCATTCTTATGTTCTTCAGAGGTAATGAGTGAAAGATGACAGTGAGAGATAACGTGTGAGATGACAGTGAGAGATAATGTGTGAGATGACAGTGAGAGATAATGTGTGAGATGACAGTGAGAGATAATGTGTGAGATGACAGTGAGAGATAATGTGTGAGATGACAGTGAGAGATAATGTGTGAGATGAGTGAGAGGTAATGTGTGAGATGACAGTGAGAGATAATGTGTGAGATGACAGTGAGAGATAATGTGTGAGATGACAGTGAGAGATAATGTGTGAGATGAGTGAGAGATAATGTGTGAGATGACAGTGAGAGATAATGTGTGAGATGACAGTGAGAGATAATGTGTGAGATGACAGTGAGAGATAATGTGTGAGATGACAGTGAGAGATAATGTGTGAGATGACAGTGAGAGATAATGTGTGAGATGAGTGAGAGATATTGTGTGAGATGAGTGAGAGATAATGTGTGAGATGACAGTGAGAGATAATGAGTGAGATGAGTGAGAGATAATGAGTGAGAAATAATTAGTAAAATCTAGGTATTCTTCCTTATTACAAACATCAGTGTGTGCAACGTGTGTGTGTATTATTAAATTGATACTATATTCCAACATATATTTAACACTGTTGCCAGGCGAAATTATGTGAATCTTTTTCACCAATCACCTCCATTGTTACAATTCTACTCGGGATTCATCCAAAAACAATTAACTGTTATTACAATGGTGCCACATGTATTGTATGTGAACGTCAGAACAAAGGGTAAATGAATTCTTCGAGGCAACTGTACGTAAACCGAATGTGCAAAACATTAACCGGACGTGCAGTACATTAACCGGATGTTCACTACGTTAACCGGATGTACAGTGGCTAAAGCAACTATCTGTGTATACTTTGTGGGCAACAATATGAGACCGTGGACGGTAAATTTTGGTATATGAGGGCAGCCACTAGTCACACGTTAAATTTCGGAGCTTATCGACCACCCACCTGCACATATAGTTGTTTTAGCTACCGTACATTACACTACGTTAACCGGATGTACAGTACGTTAAGCGAACACTATCTATATTGGCTCACACACTCGACTGATTCGGTTTGCAGAAAATCATTGGTCTTGGTGTGAGGCAGAGAGTGATACCTTCCTTGTCCTGTGAGACCAGACTCTGTTGATGACGTTACCTTGAGCTCGGTATGGCTGTGTGGGAGAAAGGCTTCACTTACCATGACTTAGTAAGAGGCTTCACTTACCATGACTTAGTGAGAGGCTTCACTTACCATGACTTAGTGAGAGGCTTCAACTACCATGACTTACTGAGAGGCTTCAACTACCATGACTTACTGAGAGGCTTCAACTACCATGACTTAGTGAGGGGCTTCACTTACCATGACTTACTGAGAGGCTTCACTTACCATGACTTAGTGAGAGGCTTCAACTACCATGACTTACTGAGAGGCTTCAACTACCATGACTTACTGAGAGGCTTCAACTACCATGACTTACTGAGAGGCTTCAACTACCATGACTTACTGAGAGGCTTCAACTACCATGACTTAGTGAGAGGCTTCACCTTCCATGACTTACTGAGAGGCTTCAACTACCATGACTTACTGAGAGGCTTCACCTTCCGTGACTTACTGAGAGGCTTCAACTACCATGACTTACTGAGAGGCTTCAACTACCATGACTTACTGAGAGGCTTCAACTACCACCCAAAAGACTGATAACTGTTTACCTAGAATATTTCAAACTTGCCAGCAATTTCTACATTAATTATTTTTTGGGCGTCTACAGTAATTATTTTTTATATCTAATTAAATATAACTAAAGAGGTAAAATTTGTTTGAACATAAAACCCGTGTGAAATGGATTTGGGTTATTACTCAAGTGCCAAAGTGTTCTGTCCTTTGGTGGGGGGGGGGGAGGGTAGGAAGGAGGGAGGGGGTAGAGAGTAGAAAGAATTAGGAAGGAAGGGGGCGGTAGGGAGGAGGAGAAAGGAAGGAAGGAGCGGGTAGGAAGGAAGAAAGGAAGGAAGGGTAGGAAGGAGGGAATGAAGAAGAGGATATGGAGGAAGGAGGAGGCAGGGAGGATGAAGGAAGGAAGGAGGTAGAGAGAAAGATGTCGGAAGGATTGAAGTAGGTAGGGAGGAACGAAGGAGGGACGAGATAGAAGAGAAAGATAAAGTAAACATGGAAATAAAAATGGAAATAAGAAAGATAGAAGAAGGAAACAAGGCCGAATGAAGGAATGAAAGAGCATAACTACTTCTCTCTGGTAAAAAAAAAAGTCGAAAAGTTACTTGTGAAAATATTTGCATTTTTATTTTTGTCTTATTTTTTTTCTTCTTATTTTTTTGGTTGGGGGAGGGGGGAGGAGGAACCATCTTGAATCAGAAAGTTTTGTACCTTTTTTCTACGACTCGGTGCACCAGGGAGCTGTCGCAGTTCTTCCTCGTTCTTCCTATGTCCATCCTTCGTGCCTCCTATGTCCACCCTTCGTGCCTTCTATGTCCATCCTTCGTGCCTCCTATGTCCATCCTTC